GCACTGGTCCGCCTGTGCTCGGAGGCCACGCCGGGCCGGGCCGACACAGGGCGCGCGTAACCCCTGCAGTGACATACACAAGGGTCTGGACACAAGCGCATGCCCCACGGAAGCGGCAAGTCCACAGGTTCGGCGTCCATACGGCCAGGCGGTCACTGCGACCTCCGCACGGCAGAGTGCCCACTGCACCGGCACCTCTGCAGGGCCGGTCGGCCTGCCCTTGCCTTTCGCGATAAGACAGCAACAGCCCTCATGTGCTGCTGGTGTTTGGTTTAGTGTGAAGTCAGGGATCTGTCTTTCACTCAACAGCCTTCGCTGAGTCTACACGAAGGTGGACAGTGAAGACCTCTCGGGGTCCGCTCCCGTAAAGACTCACTGGTGGCAGTGACAGAATCAGGGAGCACAGCTGGCAGAGATCCGGAGGAGCAGTGACGGGGCCACCCCGTGTGAAGTGGACTGTGGGTGCTCACTGTGTGCTCAAAGGGGATTATAAGATTCAACTGCAGGCTCACAGAAAGGTTAATCATGGCTTTGTTTACAAGGGAAAGGGAAGTGAGTAACTCAGGAAAAGGGGGAGAGAGAGAGATCATGTGTCCTACCAGTTCCACTGACCTGGAACCCCAATATTATGCTGAAAGCAGGCAAAAGGTCAAGAGACAAGCCACGAGTCACGAGGCCAAGAGCCCCCCAAAGCCCACATGTCTGGTTTTAGAGCCAATATGGCTGCCTAACCCCACCCTCAGGTCCCAGCATCCTCCCTTTGGTGATGCTGGGAGCTGTAGTTGTGGTGTCTGGGGTTGGGGTGGCGTCCACAAAACCTGCATCTGCAGCGTTCGTTCAGGACAGCCTTTCCCCTAATAGCACGACCCGACACCCCTTCCAGGAGTGCATCCTGTGCCCTGGGAGTGCCAAGAAAAGACCGAGGGCTTTGGGAGACCAAGGACTTCCTCCAGGAGATGTCTGTAGACTGGGTCCCTGAGGGACCCATATTTTAACATGGAAGTAGAGGCTAAGGGTTGGTAAAACACCCATAAAGGCCTACACGGACAACACACACCACAGGAGGGCCACACTGGGGCCCGATTCCAGTGTTCCCGGATGCACTTGGCACAGGAACTGAGCTCCATCCACACAGGGGCAACCCGAGAGGCAGCAGGAAGTCGATGCCCGGGCCTGAGATCTCCGTCCCAGACCATGCTGCTGTGCCTCCCGCCCAGCCCTCTGTCCTCCACGCTGGGGCCAGGGGCTGCAAGGAGCTGCCTGGCTACCCGGCTTCCTCCAGGCCCAGAGCAGCAGGCAGGAGGGAGAGAGGGCCAAGGTCTTCCCTCCCCGATGTCTGGGGCAGGATGCCTGGGCGCTGACTGATCCAGCTCCTACAGGTACCCCATGTGCACTGCCCACTTTGAATCCAGGTCCAGTGACTGGCAACTGCTTGCCCCACCCCTTGGGTCCAGGCCTGCGACATCCTGTGTGGGTCCCTGTTCTGTAAACAGCCCCTTCATTAACTCTGCCTAAACTGCCTGATTCGAGGGCACCACCTCTCGTGCCAGGATGCTGAGGGAACCGCCCACCTCCACCCCCACAGCAGCCCCCCTTCCTGGAGCTGAGGGCCGAGGCCCGGGGTCACGCGCCCCTCCACTTCACCTGCCTTCCTAGTGAGCGGCAAGTGAGACTCCTGCCCAGCTCTGCCTGGCCCAGCCTCGGGAAGAGCAACTCAGTGACAGAGCAGGGGCCCTCGAAAGGGACCACGTGCCCTGAGCTCATTCCCATGTCTGACGGTCCGGCAGGCAGGAGCCGCGCGGGCCTGCCGCCCTCTGAGCAGAGAGGCCCTGCCACACAGGCGCGTCGGCAATGGCGCCGCATGCAGCAGCAATCCTGAACGGAGAGGAACAGCTCAGATACCCCAAGGCTCTGCCCAGACCCTGCACGGCAGGACCTCACTGCCCGCCCCTCCCTGCCCGGAGCCAGCTGGGAGAGAAGGCGTGCTCCGGCCGTCGGAAGGCTGGACGGCGCAGTCACGGAATTTCTCCGGCAACAGACGCCTCAGCGTTTTGCTCAGCTGCTCTGAACCCCGCCGCCCACTCCCACGACCCCGACACGTCGCCATTCTCTGCCTGTCAGAAGGCCCTTTGTTGCTGCTCAGCGCGTGTCAAGGGCTGTTCTGAGCCGCCCTGTCTCCTGGGAATCTGCATCCCATTCCCGAGCCTCGCCTTGCACTGCTTCTGGCTTGGAGGAAAGAACCGATTTTTACAGGGACTGTGGAGATAAGATACTCAGGTTTTATGCGGACCACGAGGAGAGGCTGGAAAAGTGGAGGTGCCCTGGGCGATGCCCAGCGGGAGCCCCAGCGCCAGGCGTGCAGGTAATGACCACACTGTGCTGGACTCTGCACCTGCAGCCTGAGGCCCTGTGAGCACACCGCTGTCACTTCTTAAAAGGTGCTACATGCGCCCCCATGCTTACTGCTGCTTTATTTACCATTGGGAAGACATGGAAGCAGCCCAAATGCCCAAAAGTAACTGGATTAGAAAGATGGGGTACATGTATACAATGGAATATTACTCAGCAACCAAAAAAAGAGAAACATGTCTTTTGCAGCAACTTGGATGGAGCTGGAAAAGATCATGCTTAGTGAGATAAGCCAGA